CCGCATTTCTAAGGCGCTGTGTTAGTATCTCACTGGTATTGTCTCCTAGGGACTGCATCTGTAAGAACGAGGCCTTTTTTGGAACTGTTGGTAACTTGGGCTTTTTTGGTTTCAGAATCATATTCTTATCAATAAACTTTTCGGGATAACCATTCTCACTCAGCAACCGTTTAATATTGTTAAGTTCCTCGTCAAGACATTCATCCGAGCAAATCTCTCTTGCTCTGTGGACCAAGTACTTTATTGGATTGCGTTTGTATTTTAAGGGCACAAAGCTGAGAAAATGTGTGTACTGGCCCGTTGATGTAGGTTTTCTATAAACACTTCTTCTTATTGTGCAATCCTCTTTCCTGGTCATAAGGACGTCTAGAAATGAAATACTAGAGTCTTTTTCTTTCTCAATAGTAAAATTTATTGCAGGATGTACCTCATTAAATTTATCCAGGATGTCCTTTGCCTCATTTTCGTTCTTCATAATCAAAAAGTATCATCCATGTATCGACAATAAAATTCGAGTTCATTAATAACACCTTTCAAAGGCCCATTTTCTAGCTTCGCCCGGAAAACGTCGGCTAGAATGGGTCCTAGTGGCGACCCCATTGCCACACCGTCGATTTGTCTATACAGTTCCTTATTAAATAAAAAGTGGACATTCATTGTACATTTATATTGTTATTGACTGCTAATCTAGAATATTCTATGTATATAAATGGACATATATATAATTTTAGAGCCAGAAAAGGAAATTATCGAAAAGGATATTCTTCTTTGCTCAATTATTTTGTGCTTTATATTACAAATGATAAATTACTATGTGTAGATACTGTATTCACTTGATTTCAGCAAAGTTCAATTCACATCTGATGTTAAACTGACAACATTTTAATAACATCTGTCACAAACAATCCCATGAGAATGACCAATGCATAATGGTGTGTATATCATTTCAACAGTTATCAACTCTGCATTTAACTTTCTTCTATACCTGTGTCAAGTTAGTTTACCCTCAAGCATTTTCTGTTAAAGTTTAATTTCTCTCTGAGAATAAGTCAAATCAAAAATGTAGGACAAACTCTTAATAAACGACTTCTTAAATGTCTAACAGAAAAGAGAAATTATGAGAATAGTGTTTAAAATCAAGAGTTTTAATTTAATTTTATTTTTAGCGAACAATCGTTCCGTTCCATTGGTTTTAAATGCTTAGTTGTTGCTTTTTTTCAATTAAAGAATCTATCCCCATCTTGTCTTCAACAACTCATTTTTGGAATCATTTTTGACTGATAATGATGGGATTATACATTCATTATTTCTGGTGCAGTGATTATTTAGCCATTTTCTAAAATAAGAACGTTTGATCACCGATTGATATCACTTGTTATTAATATTGTTGTTTCCTTTAATTCCTAGAGGAACATAGGGCTTCAGCTGCACGTCTCCACTGCGTTCGGTTCACCCCCATCATTTTCACCTAGCTCTACGTCTGCCTACACTCCTTCATCTCCTCTTCTCATGATCTCCTCCATGTCACCCTCGCACTGACGACCAACTCGCTGCTCCCGGTTCGGATTCCAATCGAGCTATGGCCTGGCGTGTGATGTCACTCACTTGGTGGTTTGTTTTCTCAGAGTATAATCAATCCACCTCCATTTATTCCTGCTTATTTGTTGCACAGTTAGTTCCTGCTGGGTTGGTTTCCTCCCAGAGATCCCTGATGCTAATCTTTTCTGGCCAGCTGATCTTGAGCAGTATTGAGCGAAGACAACTTTTAATGAAGGTCTGTAGTTTGTTTGAGGTGCTCTTCATGACACGCCAAGTCTCTGATGCATAAAGTAGCACTGACTTCGCATTGGAGTCGAAAATTCAGATCTTATTTTTGATGCTGAGTGCTATTGACCTCCACACAGACTTGAGAGTAATGAAAGCTTGCTTGCCTTGCTTCCCCGATCCTTGCTTTGATATATTCGTCAGTTCCATCCGCCTGTATTTGAAACGATGCTTCCCAGGTAGGTGGGTAGGTAACGGAGGTTGCTTCTTTCAGATTTCTCCCACTTATGCTGATTGTTGTCCGTTGTTGTTGCTTTGCTGTTGGCCAGGAATCCCCATCACCTCTGTTTTCTCTATGTTCACCTGAAGGAAGTCCTATTTTTGATGCTTTTTCTGCCAACTTGTTGCTTTTCACTCGCATATCTTCCAGTTTGTGGGAAATCAGACATATATCATTGGCGAAGTCCATATCCTCCAAGTTTTTGTGTGGTTCCATTTTATGCCTGTTTCCTTGCTGCCCGCCCTCTGTCACATTATCCAATCTACTGCAATCAGGAAAATCATCGGAGATAGTAGGCAACCTTGTCTTACTCCCGTTTTCACTTCGAAAGATTCCGTGAGTTTCCCGTTGTGGTATCAGTTGGAGAACCATTAAGAACCAGGAAGGACTACTGGACAGTTATTTCGTCCTTGTTTTGGACTATTCCGTGGTATATGCCCACAAGAGATCAAACCAGGGAACTTTAGGTTATGCAGTGAACTTGTTTACCATTCGGACACTGAGATGCAATCCAACCGTCGACCCGTCACTTCACGATCTTTAGGTCCACCGCTGGTTAATATCATCGAAAATAACCTATCCTCACACCCGACTTGATAGACCCCATTGGTCACGACGTCTCACTAGGACTTCAGCCAACTTCATCCTCTAGCCAGCTACTAGTGAACATCAAGTTAATTTTCAAGTGTTATTTTAAGTACTGATGAAGAGTTCCAAACTAGGACGAAGCTACTGTCCAGTACTCTCTGCTAATTTTCAATGATTCTCCAATTGATATCAATCCGTGATCAAACTTGAAATAAATCAGATCCCTGCAAACTAATGCCTTAAAAATACTTTTCTGCTGTACCAGTGAACCCATTTGGTTGTACAGATATTCCAGGTGTCATATAGAAATAGTTTTTTGTTTATTTTGTTAGGAAATAAAGTTGCACTCATGGCACACAAGTAGGCGTATTAGGAAAATATTTTATTCGTACTGCCTAAAGATAACAATAAATTGTACTCTTTAGGATGATTAAAAAAAGCCTATACCTAGCAAGGAGGAGGTCACCTCTTGGGCTCTCCATCAGAGATAAGATTTTATTTTGATAAATCACACAGTGTTATACGAACAGAATAAGATAAACTGCACAATACCGTTAATAAAAAGCCAACCCATTCTGCTAACAGATATTTAGAATTTAATTCATCTCATCGGTCGGCGTCTGTAAAGGCTGGCTTAGTTAAGTGTCTAACAAACCGAGCAATAGCACTAAGTAGCACAAAAAAGACCTAAATGATGAACTGAAACAGATAGAGGAAGTGTTGGTATCAAACAACTATCCTATAAAATTCATTAGGAATATCAAAAAAGGTCAAAAGCAAAATAAAAATAATGGTTAAACTAATAATGATAACATAAATAAGAAAGAATATAAGGCATCTACAGTCTTACCATATAAGGAGGGGACATCTGAAATTCTTTCTACGTAGGATTCTGAATAAAGCAGGAATTAGGATGGTGGCATTCAAACCTACAAACTCACTCAGGGAGGACAAGCTCTGTAGGTTAAAGGACCCAATGGGTTGACCCAATTAGACAAAATAATATAATTTACAAAATACCTTGCAATGACTGTGAGTGAAGTCAACTACATAGGTTAAACCAGTAGATCAGGAGTAGTGAGATTATCAGAACATAAGAATTTAGCTAAGGTTAAAACGATTGGTCCCACGAAGATAAGTAATTTAGAAAAAAGCTCAGCAATAGCACTACATGCAGTAGCACACAACCACATAATAGTGTGGGAGAGAATTAAAATTCTAAGAAGTAATATAAGTAAGTGGACAGACAGACTGATCACTGAATCCTGTCTGGTTCATCAAGTCTATACCCAACACATGCAACAGAAATGACTCAATGCAAATACCAGAGATATGGAAGATATTATTACCGCCAGTAAAATCAGAAGAGAATAATAAATAATCTCAAAATTCTATTTCAATTCAAGCACATCACAACATTCTAACAAGTTACTTATTTTGACTATAAAAACATCTTATTTCCCATCTGATTTTAACTGATCAGTGACACTCATATTACTATCCTATATTGATTTTTATTCAAATGTCTAATCAATTTCACTCATGTATATAAATGAAGGAAGAAAGTTGTGTGAGTAACTTGATATGATTATGAGCAGTAATAAATTGTGCTCGAAACGTGGTCATCAGTTAATATTACTGTATAACACTGTATGATTTATCAAAATAAAATCTAATCTTTAATGGAGTTAAAGGCCGCAGAGATGAGGATGTCACAGGCATGATCAGAAAATTAAGACAGATTTGCAATAATCTGAAATCAGTGTGGAAATCTGCAGCACTCAGTATACCAGAACAAAATCCGAATTTACAACACTATTGTCAAGACGATCAGTGCTTGTATATGGTTCGGAGACTTGGGGTGGGCGTCACGAAAAGCATTCTCCACAGGCTGATACAGACTTTTATTACCAAATACCTTCGCTTGCTCGATAATGAAGATCAGATGGCCAGAAAGGGTAAGTAACATGGAACTCTGGCTACAAAGTAAACAAGAATCTGTCACCTAACATACGTGCGAAAGAAAATGGAAACGAACCAGGAAAAAATGAGTTGACCGTTGAGTTGCATCAAGTGCCAGGCACGCCATCAAGTGGGTATTGGGGTTAATGCAACATGGAAGAGACAGTGTAGGGAGGAGATGGTAAGTTTTAAGCCAGCTAAAAGGAACTGAGGAGAAGATAATGAAATGGAGATGTGCCACTGAAGCCCTATGTTCCACGCAGATCCCAAGGGGATATTAACAAAATGTATTCAACAGTCGTGTTTCACTCACACAACTAACAGTCTATCGGACAGAATATATTTTACTTGAGAACACTAAATAATAAAATAAAAAGAAATGGACAACATAATTTTAAAAACATACCTGATGATGGACGATCAGAATATCTTGTACAAAATACCCATGCAGGTAAATGTAATCTACTTGCATCATTTGTAGTCAACTTATTGGATGATGCACTAGCCTCATTTGTTCGATGCCGGGAATTCAACTTTCTATTATGATGACTACGGTTAGATTTTAATCGATTCACCTCTTCCTTTGATGCTTTTTTACTACTACAGTTCAGCTTATGCTCATCTTGTGATATAGTGAATTTCACTGTTGAACTCGCCTTTTTTACATTCATGTCAAATAAATTTTTTAAACTGTTTGAAACAGGATCGTCATCACAGTCTTTGTGGTCTCTCTTGGTGGTGGTATCACACTCGCCGACGACTTGTTCTTCTTCATTTTCGTCCTTATTATCTTGTTCACTGACTCTCCTGCCTTCTTTCCCACTGCAATCATTAATACAACTGTCATATCGTGAGTAACGCTCATATTGATCTGAATTAATTAAATCTTTGACAAAAAATCCACAGCTTCTTTTCGTATCGAATAATTTTGATCCTGATGATGATGAAGATGAGGAAACTGATGAATTCGAGCATAAAGAAGTGGATGACGACGTCGTTGATGATGACGATGACAAATTCAATTGTTCTGTTTCATTACAGTACTTTTCATTTTCACTTTCCATTAATGCACAATTGAAGAATTTACTTAAAAATTCATTTTCATACTTCCCTTTCATCATATCTACCTCATCTTTTGCTAATTCATTCGCTAAAATAATTGATGATAATGAAGGCAAAGATAAAAGTGTATGCTCACTTTGTCCTCCTGTTGTTGATGACATTGTTACACAAGATGGTAAAGTAGGTGTCAGTTTAGTAGAAGCTGCTGCTGCTGCAGATGCAGCCGCGGAAATGAGGATAGACGACCAGATTGGATATTCTGGATATGGACTAAGTGTTGTTATGAAAGGGGTCATTATGGGATCAATATTTGATTTCTGTTGAGTATTATCAATGTACTGACTAAAATTGCTATTATTATTACTATTATTACTGCTGTTATTGTTATAATAGTAATTAAAAGCATAATAAATATTCATTAGACTACTTAAATTTGACATAGTTTCTTTATCATATTGCTGTAATGAACACTGGTGTTCTAATTGTTCAGTCATCAAGAATTTAGATACCTGACAGAAATCATTCAATGTTTCAAACATTCTATATTGACATATGATTGATTATATTGAATATTGTTGTTATGACTATTTGTTTAAATATATATGTGGAGGTTTGTTTGGGTAATTGCGGTAATTTAAAAGTAATAGTTGGTCTTTTTTCGAAATAATCTCCTATTTATTTTAAATACACTCATAAAATAAATAGAAGTATAATATAACTTAATATAGCCAATCAGATTTATGTATTATCGATGCGCGTAAACTGAATATTGTCTGTTTAATTCACTCCTCTGTCATTACAGCTAAACAACATAACGTGGGGAGAGACAGAAATATAGTGACAGAGAGAGAGAGAGAGGGAGATAAACTGGGCAAAATAATTACCTACTGTCTATCCTTCTATGACTTGATTGGTTTATTAACAGTAGGAGAAGGAAGAGAGAGAGAAAGAGAGAGTTAGTTGAAGCGCGTATATGCGTACTGAAAATAGGATGGTCTTGTTATTATAGAAAATCAAAACAAGTGATTCAACGAAGAGAATCTTTTCGACGAATTTATCATCAAGCTGTGCACAATTGTATTTATATGTATTAAAAGTCAATCTGAACGAAGAATATTGTTTTCAATTATTTCTCTTCAGGTTCTTACAATTATAAAATATAATATATGTGTAAAACTTGGGCACTGTGGTAGTAAGTAATTCCATATTAGTTTGTTTATTAGGTATATCACACAGTGAAACAGTTTTATTTACTGGATGACGTTTCATCACCTGTCCCCGATATTTGGAAAATTCTACTACCCATACGACAAATAGGAGAGAACAAAGAAAACTATAAAACTCAAGTGTCAAAGTCGTGTGATCACAATTGATTTGATTATGAAGAATAAATTTTGTTCGAAACCTTGTCATCCAGTAAATAATACTGTTTCACTGTGTGATATACCTAATAAACAAACTAATATGGAATTATAAAATATAATATTTGTTGTCGTTACAATAAGGCCAGTTATGCGGCAGATACATTTTTAACGTAGAATAACAGATTAGCTATGGGGTGTCAAAATAATTAGTCGTATTCGTGTGACAAACATCGTGCTAGGCTGAAATAGATTACAAAATATTGTAAAACGGGAGACAGTGGTGGTGATTAATCATAATGGATTTGTAGAGTGTGGGGGAGGAAAATTGACAAGTCAGTTCAAGGTTATAAAAGGTGTCAGGTGAGTGAGTGGTTAGTACAAAGTAGTCTGTGTTAAACAGGAGATAGTAAGACTGCAATGAGAGGTTCATAATGAAATAACGAATTTGTGAAATGAAACAGGTGGAGGCATATATTGAGAAAAGAGATAATATCACTAATAATAAGTCCGGATAGTATAAACGAAAAAAAAATTCTATAGTATTGAGAGAATGTTTGCATGAAGGGCATAAATTATGACGAATAATAATAATAATTGTAATAATAAGCAAAGGAAAAAAAGGCCAAGAGGGTTAAGGGGAAGGAGCACTCTTGGTGAGAAGAAGAATCATCAATCCAAGTTCGGCCACGGTAGGAACAGCGTCTGGACGTCTTCTTTTTGGATACAAAGTTCCGGTTTAGTCGATCTTATTGTAACAGCTTCAGCTATGTGTAGGAGACGTAAGCGAACTGTACGTGACAACGACTTCGGAATTCGGTATATAACCCTGAAAGCTGTGTTGAAATCGATATGATGTCCAGTATCGACCAAGTGTGACAGGATCGAGCTTTTTATGCACTTAACTTTCCCCCTGCTGAACCAAGCTGGTAAATGTTCTCGAACCCGCAGACGAACCTGCCTAATCGTGCGCCCTATATAACATGGATCACAGGAACAGTTGAAATGGTATATTGCATAGAGGATTTCATCATGCAACCAAACAAAATCCCTACAAAACCAATATTTGAAATGGTGTATGCATGAAGAACAGCTAAGGTTAGGTAAGACATCTTTGAGTTGCTGGGTGAACATTGGACGGCTACTGAAGGATAGACACAGACGTACAGAGTGGTTTTTTCAGAAATTATATCCGGTGAGGGAATTGGATAAAAGGTGTGAATACATAAAATAATAATAGTAATATGAAATGCAATTAAAATGTTTGTGATTATAATCATAGTTAAATGTGAAGTGGCAAAACAATTAATATCATATACAGAATAATTTATAGGATGTATAGAACTTGGAAGGGGTGTACGATTTTAGGATTAGTAGTGGCTTAATGGTCTACGAGCTCGTCTTGTAAGCGAAAGGTCCTGGGTTCAAACTCCGGTGGGTGCGTGCTGATGAGGAGTCCCAAACTAGGGCGAAACAACCGGCTGTCCAGTACTCCCTGGTGGTTTTCTAATAGTTCTCAAACTGACGTCAGCTCACAATGAAATCCTCCAACCAAACAAACAAAATCCCTACAAGACCAATACTTGACAAATGAAGAAAATAAAAATTAAAACAATACGTAAAACTGTGAAATTCGATAACACAGAATTTAACTTTGCAAAACATAATTGCTTTAGAGTGACAAATGGAATGAGTGAAATAATACCGAGGACATTTCAAAGTGAGAATCGTAATAGTAACAATTGACGTAATAAAGGAAGAGCATACAAATTGAATAGACAAAATAAAAAAAAACTGGTAGAGCCAAAATATTACTAGGGATTACCATACTTTAGCATAGAGGGATTAAGGCAATGAAAGTTTGAAGGGTTGAAAGAACCATATCTGTTTACTGAGTTCTGGCTTTTCTATTTCGATAGCCAAAGTTTCAGCAATACAGATGAGTTGGGTACGTAGTGATTTCGGTAAATAACTGTTTGCTTTGTAGATGACTTTAAAGGCGGAGGCTATAGACGTTGAGTGATAAATATCGACCACATGTGTACCTATGAATATCGGTAGGGACGAATGCTGACCACCAAGTATGTTTCCTTCTGTGAATGTTTTACCTAGCACAGCTATGGGTGCCAACTGGTCATCACTGTAAGCCAACTTTTAAACAATACGCCTGATCTAAATCCACGGAAATAAGAAGCTAAAGCAGGATCTCTTAACCATGTCACAGTTTATCCATGCTAAAAGATGTAGTCACAACCGATGGATAGCGTTCTGTATATAGTCGAGTTCTCTTAGAAACCACACAAGCTAGTTCCCTAGACAAAAACACAAGAGGTGCTAGAGAAAGTTCACAAATAGCTTAGTCATGCTGGTATGCGTAAAGCTGGACACATCACTAGTCACTGCTATGCCACTGAAACATTGAAACACCTAAAAGTATTCGTGCTTTTATCGATAGCTCTCTACTGCGTTTGTCCACTCCAAAATCGTTGAATTCTGATTAAGGTAGGACCCTTACGGTTAGGTTCTCCGCCATGTATAACACGCATTTGACATGTTAAAAATTCATACTACTCTCCACCATTCAAAGAGTGAGGTTTCAGCTGGACCTACTGGAATAGTAATCAAAAACATGTTTCATCGTTGACAGGTAACCTCAGTGCCTACAAGTAAATCATTAATTCGTTCACTCATCAAAAGTATCTTACTAAGCTCTGCTCTTCAGGCATCAACTATGTCTTCTTATTTAGGTTCAACTTCTTTAGATCAGGTAAAGATTATCTATTACATCTGAGATTTGTGTAACCATGTGTAAAAGGTTTATTTTCTGGAGCAAGCTGAAAAGTAGTTATCGCGCTGTCACCACAACTGTTTTGTTTGCTGACCGGTCTACTTCGCCGGTGGATATTTCTAGCTTCATTTTCTATCTGCCCCATTTGGAACATGCTCTGAATCCTATTCTCAGTGGCAGAGGCTTTTAGAAACCATTTCGGTTTGTCCTATGATTACTCACTTCTTAAACCACCTTCAGACAGTGAAAAACGCAACCATACTTACCAGTTAAACATTCACAGCACACCTTCCTCCAGCGACCTACCCAATTTATGTCAATCCCCGTCTGCCAATCTGTCACTATAAGGTTTCTGCTTCTGGAGGAACAGAAATGTCAGTACATTATCCTGAAATTGCGGACACTGACTCTGGATGAGAGAAGGCAATGTGAAGGAATGAGAATGTGCGTAGGCAAACACCAGTCTGTGATCATATCTTGCAAGAAGAAACTCTGCAACTGATTCTCAGGTTCAAGAAGAACCTAACAGTGACCATTAGGAAATATATGAACGAAGGCAAGAAAGACTAGTATGCTGTAAAGTCTCACATTACACTGCTGTGTACTGGTGAAACTTTAACTGATCATTTGGATTCCTCCTTTCACTATCTATCTGTTTGTGTGTTTGCCTATTATGTAAAGATATTACATTTCATGACTCCTATACTGCAACCATTTATTAGCAACTTAAGAGAGACAGATTTTGCCATGATATGAAATTTTAATATCACCATCGAAGGAAGAGATTTGACACCGGTTATTTCCTTCATTTATCCGGCTATGAAGCACTCTTTCAATCACATGCAGCACAGATGAAGACGTCAAAGCCAACCAGCCAGCCAACCAGAATTAGAAAGGCAAGACACGCCTTCATCGACCTGGAACCAGTTTGGAAATCTTCTCCACTCTGTCTCAGAATAAGGAACAAAATTCGGATTCTGTTCAACACAAATGTGAAGTCAGTCAGTCAATTCTTCTATACGGGTAAGAAACTTGCACTGCGTGTCAGTCACGAAAACGATTTCTAACAAGCTACTGAAGACTTTTATCAACAGCTGCCCCCTTCCCTGGCTCCGTACTGAAGATCAAATGGCCAGTCGACCAGCTGGCCAGAAAGAATTAGCAACAAGAAATTCTGACTGGGAACAAACCAACATGCTAGAGCCGATTGCTCAACAGCTGTGTAAGAGAGAATGGAGATAGATGAGGCCACTGAAAAGGTCGTCGAATGCTATTCCGCGCAATACATCCCATTGCTCGAGTGGAATCCCAATGGGAAGCGACGAGTGGGTCGTCGGTGTGAGGAGGAGATGAGATATAATGGGCAATCTTGGTTCCAGCTGAAGAGAACAGCAGTGAGTAAGAGAAAGTGGAGATGTTCCATTCGGAACGCAAGGGAATAGTATTATATAAGATGATTTTGAAGTTTCAATTATGAGGTCTAGAAAATTCCTTCTGGAAAGT